GGGCGTTTCTCCTGACCTGACGAGGATCTGCCCTAAATGGGATTGAGAATCCCCCAAAAGCCAGGGATGGCATCGGGGATGGTCCACTGAAAATTCCCTAACCCTGAGGATGGGCCGCGGGAGGGAATTGTGCAATCCCCACCCCGCCCTGTCAATCCTGCCCCTGTGGAGACCCACATCGCCCTGCATCGCATATTGTTATTTTATTAAAAAATTTAAGTTTTTTGTTCCTTTATGAGATTGTATATAAAGTTAGGGTCTCATGATTTAAGAATCATGGTTTTAAGTAATGTATCGACATTTATGATATTTACTTTTATAATACTTTCTAATATTTGTATTAAATTTATAGAAAAATAATTTAAACGAGGGAGTCTAATAATTAAATATATGTATTAATTCACAAAATAATAATACATGCCCCAAAAATAAATTAGATTAGATTATTACAAAACCAATATAGATTTACACAACTGGTTAACGACTTGTAAATTATACAAATTCAATTATCATCTTAATTAACTGATTGATCAATTAATTATGATGTTAAATTTAATCAATGTTGGAAACTTGGGATAATGAGATTCGTCCCTTTCACAAATGGACTAATTTAATTAGCTATAGTGGAGATAGGATTTTATGAATTAATTAATCCATTTACCTAGTAAATTATGTTAAGATTGAATATAGTTATATTAATTCTATGAAAAATTAACCAATTAACAAGTCTAACTAAGCCTAAGCTTGTATACAATTGAATAATTAATTAATTTATCTAGTAAATTATATTAAGATTGAATATAGTTATATTAATTTTTTATGAAAATTAAATTAATTAATTAATTAATAGGGCTAATTAAGCCTGAGCCTCCATACAATTGAATAATTAATCAATTTACCTAGCAAGTTATATTAAGATTGAATATAATTATATTAATTCTATGAAAAATTAATTAATTAAGCCTAAGCTTACATCCAATTGATTTATAGTAAGAAATTTGGTAGAATATGCCAAAAAGTTAGGATGATACACCAAGATACTTGATTAATATTCAATTCATAAAAAAATTCTGCATATAAAAATGAGCCTTAATTATAGTGGATGAAATGCTAATTATAAAAAAAAAAAAAAAAAAAAACTAATCATGAAACAAAATGACATAAAAATTAATTCAATTTGATTATATTAGCATTTTTAGTAGGGGTGTTCAAAAAAATACAAAAACCGAACCAAACCGAAAAACTGGTTAACCGAAAAAACGGTTCGGTTACAGTTCAAAGAATTCAAAAAACCGGATTTTAGATTCAGTTTGGATAAAAATGAAAACTGGTTTTGTGAACCGGTTTACTTATAATAATAATAATAATAATAATAATAATCTTAATCCCTAAATTTACACAATTTCTTTTGTTGTTTTCCGTTAGGACTTATATAGTTATTTTGTTATTTTATTATAGACTTTTATTTTTGTTTAATTTCGGACTTTCATTTGTATCAATTTTTAATGTATTGTTAGTTGTGATCAATTGATATGTATGAATGTTTAATTTTTATTTGGATATGTATTGTTGATGTTTACAATTTAATTTAGGATAAATTAAAAAAAAAAAAGTTTTATCCAATAAAAAGGGGAAAACTGGTTCAAAACCAGTTCAGTTTTGATTCAGGAAAATTCTTGAATCGAAAAACCAATTCGGTTCAAAAAAGTGGTTAACTGCTTTTGAACATCCCTATGAGGATCATCATTTGTCCTTATGGGATGAAAATCAGGATAATTCCCTGCTTGGGAAAGCAAGGATAAATCCCAGTGGAGGAATCTTCCCACAAAACCTTGTTCATTGGGAGGGGAGTAGGGCTGGTTAACGAACCGAGCCGCTCGCGAGCCGGCTCGGCTCGGCTCGAGTCCGGCTCGTTAACGGCTCGGTTCGTTTTATTATGAGCCGGCTCGACTCGGCTCGTGAGACAAAACGAGCCGAGTTCGAGCCACACAAGCCTCGGCTCGTCCGGCTCGCGAGCAGCCCCTGGCTCGAAATAGCGGGAGGTTTTTTGAAATTTTGTAAACTATTGGGATTTAACTAAAACTAATGCAAACAAGTTTTAAAAAATAACAAAATAGCCCCTTTATTAAAATCCCCAAATCACGATCACCAGTAGAACCATGGCCGTAAAATTTGAATCAAATCCTCCCAAAGTAACGATTTCAGCCAGATCTTCTTCATCTTCGTCAGCTTCGCGGGATCTTCGTGGGATATAGTTCATCTTCGTCGGACCGTCGGCAGCCGTTGGATCTTCGTCATCGTCATCTCATCGTCATTGGATCTTCGTCATCGTCATCTCATCGTCGTTGGATCTTCGTCAGAACTTTGTCATCTTCGTACGAGCTTCATCAGATCTGAATCGTCTTCGTCAGAGTTGAAGTGTCTTCGTCGGTTCGTCATCGTCTTCGTCGGATTTTCGTCGGACTTCAATCGGTGAGTAGGGGGTTTCTTCGTCGGATCTTCATCATCTGTTTGGGGTTGTTTCTTCATCATCTCAGCAAAACAACCTATTCAAAACCGCATCGCAGCCGGATAATGGGACCGACGCCTACACCTTCCTCAAATTCAACACACAAGGCGAGTCCGATTTCGACGCCTATCCGGAATTTCGTTCACCGGTATCCTGGCCCACGCCTTCCGATTCACGCGGTGCACCTCCCTCCTCCGATCACCACCTCCACCACCACAATCACCATCGACACTCCGATTCTCTTGCCGCCACATCATCCCCTTACAAAAGAGGAGCCAACAATAACAGTAATAACAATAATAGCATTGAGTTTCGAGGAAACGGGTGATGACGGGGAGGGGTTCGAGTATGGAAAGGCAAATTTCACGGAGCACGTTTGTCGGTACTATGGGGTATCGAACCCGGCTTGTGTTGTACGGTGCAATGTCCCGTCATGTCGTAAGTGGTTCTGTAATTCCAGAGGCAACACCTCCGGCTCACACATCGTCAATCATCTGGCGAGTTTCTTTTCACCTTTTCTATTATTAATTAGTTTTTCTTTTCAATTGATGAGATTGAGGGGGTGCTGACTTATGATAGGTTTTGTTGTTTTTATGTATTGTTTTAGGGAAGTTGAAGTGATTACTATCTAAATTATGCTCAATCAGTTTTACCGTGTCTTCCGTTTTACGGTCTTTTTATTTTGTTTCGAGTCTTTTTTAAGTTGGTATATGAGAGTTGGCAGGAGATAAGAGTGAGAGTGCTTGAATTTTTGTAGGTCTTGCTTGCTTTGTTGGTTTTTGAATTGAAGTAGAGTGTTCAATTTGTAATCTACGTTAGAACCAGTGAAAGCACATGCAAATTAGATCACAAAAAAACTTCTCAAGCGAGGAGTTTAACCTTGTATGTTGTTAATATTTTAACTATCTGTTGGTATTTAATGCTGAAGACTTCATTGAATGTTAGGATTTTGTTTGGATGGGAAAAAACATGATTCTATAGGTCCATGAATTTGCAATTACCTAAGAAAATTGTATGTAAAGACAGTAAGAAGGTTGAATGTATGAGCAGTTGAAAATTTTGTCATTTTCCCTTTTAATGATTAAATTTAATGCCCAAATCAAAGGATTAAAGAAACAATTATGAGGATAATTTAACAAAATGTATCAGACATTAGTGATTCTTCCTCTGCCCAGCAAGTTAATGAAAAGTTAAATTATAATTTTTCAATTTTAAGCCCTTCTGAATTCGCCTGTCATATTTAAATATTTTAAACTAGATTTTCTCATTTTCAATTTTGAACATTGATTCAGATTCAAAGCGAAATTTTGGTTTACATTTATTTGGATTTCAGACATTCAGACTGCTGCCCAACAAATTTTTGTAAAAAAAATGGACTTAAAAACAGAAAAAAAAATATTTATTTGAAGATGGCTCGCGAGCCGGCTCGAACTCAGCTTGATTAGCCGGCTCGCGAGCCGGCTCGAAATATACTAAATATGTTATCGAGCCGAGCCGAGCCATATAATTTTTGGCTCGGCTCAGCTCGGTCTCGGCTCGTTTAGTTTTCTTCTCTCTCGAGCCGAGCTCGTTAAGCCGAAAACTCGGCTCGGCTCGGCTTGATAACACCCCTAGAGGGGAGCGACTCCATCCCCATAGTCTAGGGATGGGAGTGGGAGTTGAGATTGAGGACGGGGATCAAGGAACGAGATCCTCAACCCCGCCTTAGCTTGCACTAATTCCTACTATATCTTAATTAATCTTATAAGCCTTGAAATTGATAATCAAATAAATGCCACAATGGTCACCTTTATTGCCTTTGGAATTTTGAATTCAACGACTCATAAAATTTGCACTTTTATTATCAGATTACACGTAAGATATTTATCCCAGATTCCACCGGCACAATTTATCCCACAAACTGGCGGTGGATGATGTACCAGTAGGCAGTAACAAGAAGGTGTCACCTGCCGCCATTCGTAGCCTTGAGCCTCAAGTCAAGAGTGGCTGACCCACCCTCGTCCTTCGCTTTTCCAACTTTGATTCACTGAGTTGGCAAGACTGCTTTTAAATCCAGACCCACCAAAATAAAATCTTTCCACGTGTCAATAAACTACTGGTCAAGTTCCTTCCAAAATAGTTAAGACTTGATTATATTTACTTATTTAGACACTCACTTTTGTCTTGTCCTCCTCTTAGCTGGAGTCTGATTATAATCCAATTTAACTCTCCTCTTAGATTCCATGAATTATTATAATAATCATCCAGATATGCTGACTTTTGGTTAACACGTTCAAGTTTTTATTTTTCTTTATTTTGTCAAATGTTTACTTCAATTCTGACTTGATATGTTCTTGGCCTTTTTCATTTCGAAAAAGTGGGAAAAGTTCATGAAACAGAAACAGGAGAATGTGAACTGGTTTTTGATCCCATATGCCTCGTTTTGTCTTCATATGAGAGCGTTTCTGTCAACAAAGTTTTTAAACTTCATGAGCTTCTAAGGTTTCAGACATTAGAAGCTGAGGAAGAGGAAGAATATGATTGTTAGTAATTCTCTAATTAAATATATGTAGCTCGTTAAGTCTTGTCTTTTTACTTGATGATTCTTGTTTCTCTCTGTTTTCCTTTGGATTAATGGCATTATTCTTTGTTTGAAATGAAATGAAATCACGGGTTTCTTTGAATTTTCTGAGCAACTTTATTAGTTATTAGCGCGGTGAAGTCATTTAATTTGTTACTTGCACTTTTTAACTAGAAAGGGTGGCAGAGAGGTTTAAGCTTCACAAAATGGTGTTTAATTTCTTTTATGTTCTTGTGTAATTTAGTTTTGGCGCATCCATTTGCTTTCCCTTGATAAATGCCCTAATACAGATACTACTTCATCATGGCAGATCAAATCCACTGACTGAAGTCACAGAACTTGTGTTCTTCGCGCGCCATGGCTGGTAGTAGATCGAAATGCATAAGGTCTGCCCACATACTGATTTAATTAGTTTCATGACTTTGCAATTTAGGACCATGTCTAACTGATTGTTCTACAATTTATTTGTTGGTATGTTAAAGTAACATAATGAAAAAGCTTGCTGTCAAATTTATATGTTTTCCAAGTTATAGCATATACAACTTCACTGAAATTTTTTGTTACATAAATTTCAGATTCCCAGATGATCCTGAGATGGCAGAGTCTACATCACCTAAAAGGGGTTATATGTTAAAATTTACCGATAAATGCACTAAAGCAGGACCTGAGCTGCGCTCCAAGAAGGTTGAGAAGGATGGAGTAGGCAAGAACTTTCGTGAAAAAGCACTTTCCAGAGTCTTCTCTGAGGATTATGATGCTGTAGAGAAGATGATTTTGGATCCTAGAGGACCTGTCATTAACAAATGGAACAAGATTTTCTTAGTAGCTTGTTTGGTTTCTCTTTTTATTGACCCTCTATTTTTTTATTTGCCAAGTTCTAAGGAGGGAATGTGCATTGAGGTTTCTATACCCCTTGAAATCGCTCTCACAATCATTCGTTCGATAGTTGATGCATTTTACTTTGTTCAGATCTATGTTCGATTTCGAACAGCTTATGTTGCTCCTTCCTCTCGTGTATTTGGGAGAGGAGAACTGGTTATTGACCCTTCAAAAATTTCTTCAAGGTACCTTCGCAAGGATTTTTGGCTTGACGTAGTAGCTGCCCAACCCCTTCCACAGGTATGCAGCTCACTATCTGACTCTCCCTTTAAACTTCCCTTTGTTGATTCTAGGATCTATTCTTGGGAGTTGTGATTATTGGACAGTTTTCTTTCCAAATTAAGCAAAATAAGCTATTCACATTTGAATCTATTGTATGCTTCATTTGACCAACTAAAGAAGTGAACTTGAAATCTTATAATCTTATAAATATTACATCAATTCCAACCTGCAGTTAATTGTTACGTATGTGTGTTATCAATTCTTATGTTTCTTGGCAACCAAATGGGGCATTAAGTAAAGTTGGCAGAAGAGAAACGGACACTCTGGAGTACTAGATTTATCCATTAAAGTTCCTAGAAACAATATTATTTTTGGTTTACTCTTGAGTTAGGATTTATAAGGTGATCTTGATGAAACCAACTATTGCATTTCCTATTTCTTTTTCTTTGTTTAGTTTATGCATGACCATGCCTGTATGCTTACTAGATTATAAATTTGGTTGTAATATTGTACCTACAGATGTCTTACAATTTCCTTTGACATAATTTAGAATATATCTTTTCGAATTTCAGCTGTTGGTTTGGGCTGTAATCCCTCATTTGAGGGCTGCATCGATGGTCAACACGAAAAATGTTATTCGCTTAATCATCATTTTTCAGTATCTCCTGAGGCTGTTTCTCATCTTTCCACTGTCATCTCAAATCATCAAGGCTTCTGGGGTTTTGTTGAAAACGGCATGGGCTGGAGCTGCTTATAATTTGATGCTCTATATGTTAGCCAGCCATGTAAGTTATGACTATAACTCGTTTAGGAGACAGAAACTTGTGATGCCTTCTGTCTGTTAAGTTATTATTTCAAGGTTGCATAGTTTGAACATAAACAAGATCACTGGTAGATGAGCATTACTCATTATATTTGCTCTAGTCAATTATCTTCAAGCATAATATAATTCTGACTCCATTTAACCACTCTTGTAAAGGTTTTAGGGGCCTGCTGGTACCTCTTCTCAGTTGAGCGGCAAGAAGAGTGTTGGAGAAAAGTATGCAGTTCTCAACACCTGCATTGCTATTTGGGTTTTTTTGACTGCCGCCTCATGGATAACTCTGCTAGAGTTGCTTGGTTTAAATCAAGCAATATCTCAGGTCTATGTGATCCAAACGGAAACTTCTTCAACTTTGGCATTCATGCTGATGCACTGACTTTCAAAGTGACAGCTGCCAGCTTCCTCAACAAGTACTTCTATTGTCTTTGGTGGGGTTTGAGGAATCTGAGGTGAGTCACTGTTGCAATGTAGCATAGGTTGATAGATCCCTCCAATTTTGGTTATCCTTTTTATTTAACACATTAACTATGCAATATTGAAAACATGTTAATCAGTAGAACTGTCTTAGACACATTTAAGAAAAAAAAAAAAATTGTTTATTATGTTAACACTACATGTAAAGAATTGATATCTGTATGATCTTCAAAATGCCACTTCAATCTTGTTTTATTCTTTGCGACCAGTAATTCTAAGTAACTCCTAATCATATGAGTCATATGTATTAGAAACTAACCAAATTTCTTCAAAATTTTGCAGCTCTCTAGGACAGAATCTCTTGACAAGCACTTACATTTGCGAAATAGTTTTCGCCATCATCATTGCAATTCTAGGACTTGTGCTTTTTGGACTGCTTATTGGGAATATGCAAGTAAGTTATTATTGGAAGTAAAATTGGCATCTGTTTTATTTTTGTATCCCTCCAAAATCATAAAATGGCTTTATTTAGTAAACCATTACATGCTCATCTTGTGTGTAAATAAATATGAATATGCATGTTGTTAACCCTCCATCTAAAGAAACTGTATTTTTCAATCACTTCTGCCATGGATTTTCAACTAAGATTGGCCATTATTAATTTTTAATGTCTATTAGTGCTTGTGTATGCAGTCTCTGTAACAAGAAATGATATTTTGTACCTTTTCCTTGTTGATAGACATACCTCCAATCTACTGCTGTGCGGCTGGAAGAGTGGAGGATTAGGAGAACGGATATTGAAGAATGGATGAGTCACAGACAGCTTCCACATGAACTGAAACAGTGCGTGCGAAAGTATGACCAATATAGATGGGTTGCAACCCGAGGAGTTGACGAGGGAGCAATACTAAAGGGCCTCCCCATGGATCTTCGGCGAGACATTAAGCGCCATCTCTGCCTTGATCTAGTTCGACAAGTAAGTTTCACTCTTCTTGTATATACAGAGCTTTAGGTTAGGAATTAACCTGAACTAGATAGCCATATATCCATGAATCATTAAAATTAGCCAACACTTCAGCAAGCCTTATTGACTTCTCTAGTTACATGTTTTAAAATGATTGAGGTGCAGCTCTCATTACAAAATTCTAGTTACATGATAAAGATATCTAGTCATCCTATCCTAACCGAGATATAATTATTATAAATGTGAAACAGGTACCACTCTTTGATCTGATGGATGATAGGATGCTAGATGCCATATGTGAAAGACTGAAGCCTCATCTATGTACACCAGGCACCTGTCTTGTTCGAGAGGGTGATCCTGTTAATGAGATGCTTTTCATTGTCCGAGGCCACTTAGATTCTTACACCACTGATGGTGGCCGCTCTGGATTCTTTAATTCATGCCGCATTGGCCCAGGTGACTTCTGTGGTGAAGAACTGCTCACCTGGGCTCTCGACCCTCGTCCAGGTGTTGTCCTCCCTTCATCCACTCGCACAGTTGAAGCCATCTCTGAGGTTGAAGCATTTGCATTCATCGCGGAGGACTTGAAGTTTGTAGCATCTCAATACCGTAAGCTGCATAGCAAACAACTCAGGCACACGTTTAGGTGTCACTCGCCTCAATGGAGAACATGGGCTGCATGCTTCATACAAGCAGCATGGTTTCGCTATAAAAGAAGAAAGGAAGCAGCTGAGCTGAAGAAAAAAGAGAGCATAACCTTCACGTCTGAACTACCAAAGGAACAAACAGCAGCAACCGTGCCTCCATTGGGCTCAGGCAAGTTTGCTACATATGCAGCAAAACTAGCTGCAAGCACTAGAAGGGGTGGAAGCCAGCGATGTGGGAATGAATTTGAAATTCTTACATTATTGCAAAAGCCAAATGATCCTGATTTTACAGTTGAAGATAGATGAAAATAACAGAATTGTTCACAATTTTTCTGGTGGAGGGTGCTAGATTTAGGCAAATATAGGCTTTTAACTTAATTGGTTTATTATTTTCATGTAGGTATTGCTCTATATGCTTAGTTAGATCAATTAGATTATACATCTTTTGGTGTTTTTCTAGGTAAATTAGTGCTTAGTTTTTCATTTTTGAGTAGCTGGTTTGGTGATTACATGATTAATATGGTTCATGTATAATAATTATTTAAAGTATAGTTTCACAAAAACTACAAGAATACAAGTATATAAAGCTGGCAATACATTGAGTTTTCCTCTCTAACTACAACTCCCAACAAGAGAAGTCCTGAAATGGGTTGGATATATCTTCTGGGCCAGTGTTGTTGGGCTGGCTCATTCTAGTCCAAACCAGCCCTATTAATTTTGGGTCATTACTTCTTTTTGTATGTTGTTGGGTTTGTTCACCCATGGCCCATTATCATATTATATTGTTTGCATTTACATATTTAGAGAAATGCATATATATTTTTGAATTAATTTAAGAATTTGTTATTTAATTAAATCTATAGATGGGTATATGCGTTATTGAAATTGTTTAGAAAAATTAAAATGTTACCAACATTTTCAAAATATCGCTACACATATCTCTTTCTCTGACATCATACCATTCTAAATTCAAACTTAAATAAAATATATAACATTAAATACTCAGATTAAGTCAATCAAAATATAGCCTTTGAATGTAGAACAATAATTTGTGGTTCAGAGGGTAATTATATTCAGTAATGAATTTGAAGCAAAGTATGTCACCTTGTGGCATGAGTGTGTGTAGAATTTAATCTAATTAATTTACTCTTTCTAAAGGATCCAAAGATCTGATCCAAGTGTTATAACTTCAACCCAAAGACAGCTTTGTTTACTGACAATAAAGTAATGCAACTATGAATCTCGTTTATATTCCTTTTTGACTATGGATAAACCTTGGTGTAATCATGTTCTTCATAACTTTTGAAGTTCTTAGTCTTTGACTTGAAGCCTAAGAGAAGCGAGATTATTATCAACTTTAGGAAGATAAATTTTATATTTTACTGGATTAGAAATGAGTAATTTGCATGAGATCCTTCTTCTTCTTCATGCTTTGGGTTATATTATATTATTTCACCTAGGAAATAATTCATTTGTCTTACTAAGTATAATTATTTTATTCACAATTATGCTTAAAATTAATGGAAGATATATTTTATATTATATATTTTCACAACTAAGTGTCAACTTAATTATAGAATTACTTGAAGTAGGACCATGATGATGATTATGATTCATTTTTATGCATGCTTGAATTTTGCCCACATGGGTTCTCCTCTACTGCTAATTATGTTAAGCACAAAGATAATTATACTCTTGCATGAGATGGAAAAAATTTCACAGAAGCCAAGAAACTTAGGGTAGGTTGAGTAAGTGTGGTGGGGTTTTTTTTTTTAATTCTGAGGGTGAAGTTATTAGTTAATTTGATATGAGTTTGTTGAGAGGCAAAGGGTAGACAAAGTTATGGCGTTGAACATGAAATAGCAACCAAAATGTGAGACAAGATCAATGGAAATGGACCCAGAAACCTAGTCAGCCACCTCCATATTTCTCTGCATATTCGCAGCCTTTCTTTCTTTCTTCTGTTTTTTCTTTTAATTCTGAAAACTTTTCCCACCAGGCCACCAGGGCATTGACCCTCTGCTATTTTGTCAGATCCTGAAACTTGTCAAATTAGTCAGCAGAAATAGGCCCACTTTGACTAATAACCTCTCTGGATATTTCCTTTCTTAATAAAACAAGAAGAATTAATTCAATCATCCGAATACATACATAACAAGAATATATACCCTTATAATAGATTAATTTTTCATGTTTGTGTTGAAGGTGAAAATTAGTCTGAACGAGCCAACGAGGGAAATCAATTATAACTGGATCAGGGATTTTTGGGGTTAGATTTCTAAATTATCTCTATCTGATATTTTGTAATTTGCAAGTTGAGTGAACTGTGTAATCTTGAGAGATTATATATAAATTTTTAAAATAATTTTCAATCTGAAATTAGAAAAATGGAGCCAATATCGGTGATGATACACTTTTCAAATCCTAGCATTTGGAGAAACAAATGGAGTTAGCTCCCTGGAGAGGAGCCAAAAAAGGACCCACAAAAGTCAGGATTGCTTCAGGTTTTTTAACAGAGAGTGGGGGAGATCATCACCACTGGCTAAGCCAATTGAATCTTCAAATTTAGGTGGCTAGAATCCCAAAGGCATCCGAGTTGTGTTCTTGACCAATAATGTAAAAAGTTGAAGGTAAAATCTACAACTTGCTTCCTTGAGCTGTAAAATTAAAAAGCATAAAGTAACAAGTAATTATAAAGTTAACGTCTGAAAAATATTATAGTGTTTGATGCAGAAAACATAATGGTGTCCAAATGAAAATGGGGTTGTTCCCAGAAAGTTGTTTTGGGCCACAAATATTGGAATCTGAGTCTTATTGAAGAGCTTCCAGGAATTATGATGCCATGTTTGAGATCATTGTGAGCAAGTAGACATGAAAGGTATTTATCAAGAGGATAAGAAAAATATAAGTAGCTGGACCACCGCCATGCCGTCATTTTGGAAAATGGAAACATTTTTATTATTACTCTCTGCAACTTAATATTAGTGATTCTCCATTCTTCTTTTTTTTCCTCAATCTCTGCAACAAATTAAACTAGTTAACCATGCATGCACGCCCGCATATCCATTTGAATCCTTGTAATGAAAAATAAATCTCGAAATTAATTTTAATACGCAAAACTAAGGGGCTCCTGGATGAGCAAGAGATGGGATTGGTTTCACTTTCAAACCACTATCTTTAAATTATTTTATGTGTAGTCTGTGTTTGCCGTGTTCTCTTGTAGATATGATGTGGACATTCTGAATATTCCACCATCTTTGATGCTTAGAGTTTCCTAAAAACCTAACTATTTAATTGACCTCTATGAAATAACATCACTGAATAAGACTCTGATATTGCTCTAAACTCTTATGTCCCACAGTCACAGATATAGGGAATATTCGTGTTTAAGTGTTGCGTCTCACGTCGATAAACATAGGTTAGGTCTTGGATTTAAAAGAAAAGATATACAAATAAACCATGGTGAAATCATGTAACCACAAAGAGTTGTCCAAGTAACTTAGAGAGTTGCTAATATCAATTCCACATAATCCTTACGTAATTACACAGGACTAATTATTATCATTAATTATTTGGCCTACCAATTTACAGTATTATTTCACTTCTGCATGCCCATTGATTATTATCTGTCGATTTGTTTAGTTCCGAAAGTTGAATTTGCCATAATTTTTTAACTGTTATCCAATAATTTCAACTTAATTAGAGAGAATGAATTGGAAGAGTCAAAGATTATATCAATTAATGAATAGAAAAGATAGTTGCACTTAACGAACTTCATTAACTGTCTTTGCACAATTAATAAACGATGTTGCCATCCAATAGGGCAAGGTGGGTCATGGAATCTGATCAACTTTTTCTCATTAAATTTTCCATAAAACATTGATAATTTGTTGAATTGGAAATGAAATTTCTGGAAAACGGCCAGAAATATGATTCAGCATGATGTAAGTAAAAGACCTAACATTTTAAAGAAATTATAATATAATGACACATATATAAAATCATTAAGCAGGTCACACTGCAATTGTTTCATTCATATGGGTTGATTTATTAATAGTATTGAAATTGTTTCATTGATTTTTAATTTATTGTCTTCTTTCAAAGATGGATTGAACCGGCATTAGAATTATTAATTTGATCATTAAAGTTTCAAAAATAAACTCATCCCATATCAAATAATTAAAGCAAATTTCTATTTCATTTTCCCTATCCTTTTCAGGCTTTGAACAAAATTTGATCTTCAAAAAGTAATTAATTTGAATGTCAAGAAAGGTCATGCCGACCCTGCAATTTTTTTTTTATTATAACTTAATTTTCGGTGGGTAAAGGAGGGCTGTAGAATGTTTTGACGAACATATTGATGTTATATGAAAGTAATTTACAAAATCTATCTGACAAAGAATTTTGGAATACGTATCTCTTAAAAGAGGAAAAAAAAAAAAATTAAACAATTAATTATAAAATACACCGAAAAAATCATTTATTTGGGTATAAAAGCAGTTGACAGATAGCTTTTGAAAAGAAAAAATATTTTGGATCGAGCATAGGTTTAAAAAAATATTTACTTTTGGAAGATATTGTCCTTGAAAAAGAGCAAGTTTTGTAAACGCATGCATTTTGAAGGAAAGTAAAGTACATGCAACGCATACAAAAAGCAGTCAAAAAGAAAGAAAAGAAGAGGTTATTTAATAACAAAAGGCATTTAATAGAGAAAAGAAGAGGTTATTTAATATCAAAAGTTATTTAATAGAGTAATTAGAAGTTGCATGCAATTGCAACCAAATCGATAACGATAGAAAAAGAAAGATTGTGGTTACATGCATGAATATTTTCATTTGTATAATATTACTTGATTCGCTCTTTTTTAGGCTTTCTTTGACATGTAAACCAATATGAAAACAACTTTCCAAGTCTTCCAACAAAAGAAAAACAAGTGATGAAAACATTGGTAAAGTCGTGTGAATACGTTTGCTTTAAGTAATTTGCTTAATATTCAGTCAAAATCAGAAAGGCAGTCCTGTTTGTTCTAAACCAAAAGGATAAAGCGAGAGAGCTACAAAGAGAAGACCCTACTACTTTAGCCAATGGTCAAACCCCTTCAAATTAGGCTTTAGATTTCTACCCAACAAATTGAAAGAGAGCAGAAGCACCTTTCTTTCACTATTTAAGCACTAGTATAAGAAATTAGGGTTTTATTATTATTTACAACGTCATATCATGTTTCTTAAATAGAAATGATGGACTTCACATTTCTATAAAGATTCTCTATATAGATGCTACAATTCGACCTGGTTTTTGAAGAATTTAACATGGTTTTTCAAAAATGAAATTTTGATATCTCATTAGGACCTTTAGAAATCTTTAATTTTATTAAAAATCAACCAATATTTTTTAAAACATCTTTTAAGTACCTTTAAAATTTTTGAATCTTTCAAAGTGATAACAAAAAATAACCAACCCCTGGGTGACCGAATGGTTTGATAGGGACTTT